ATAACTCGTTGGCTCTGAACGCCAAAGAGAAGGCCGATCTCCTTGGATCTCTCTTTGCATCAAACTCGACATTGGATGACGGGGAGAAACTACCGCCGACCATCCCGCGTTGTAGGAGCTCTATGCCGGATGTTAAATTCACGCAAAGATCAGTGCGTAGAGCACTTCTCTCCCTTGAAATCCATAAGTCGAGCGGGCCCGATGGCATTCCTCCAATTGTGCTAAGGACGTGCGCACCAGTGTTGGCTCCGGTTCTTACGCGTCTTTTTCGGCTCTGTTACTCATCAGGTATAGTCCCAAAGTTTTGGAAGACTGCTTTGGTGCATCCGATCCCTAAAAAAGGAGACCGCTCAGATCCAGCTAACTATAGGCCCATAGCTATCACTTCCTTATTCTCGAAAGTCATGGAATCAGTTATTAACCATCAACTGCTCCGGTACCTAGAGGATCGCCAGCTGATCTCAGACCGCCAGTACGGCTTTCGACGGGGACGCTCGGCTGGTGATCTTTTAGTTTATTTAACACACCGATGGGCAGTGGCAATCGAGAATAAGGGAGAGGCCTTAGCTGTTAGTCTGGATATTGCGAAAGCCTTTGATCGGGTGTGGCATAGGGCACTAATCTCAAAACTACCTTCGTTTGGGTTGCCTGCGAGATTGTGCAGTTGGGTCGCCAGCTTTCTTAAGGAACGTAGCATTAAGGTCGTAGTCGACGGAGCATGCTCTGACTTAAAACCTGTGAATGCTGGTGTCCCGCAAGGCTGTGTACTATCTCCAACACTGTTTCTTCTGCATATCAATGATATGTTACAGATCAGTGATATTCATTGTTATGCGGACGACAGTACAGGAGATGCATTATACACCGGTCATGCAAAGATCTCGCGGGCACATACCGATGAGCTCCGGAACAGACTTGTGTCTGAAATCGAAACTTCACTCCATCAAGTTTCGATCTGGGGTGAACAAAATCTTGTCCAATTTAACCCCAAAAAGACACAAGTCTGCGCGTTTACCGCAAAAAAGACGCCGTTTGTCGTATCTCCTCACTTTCAGGGCACTTCCCTTGATAAAAAGTCAAGTCTAGAAATTCTGGGCGTTGATATATCTTGCGACGTCCAGTTTTGCGGTCATCTGGAGGAGAAGGCTAAGATAGCTTCCAAAAAGTTAGGAGTGCTCAATAGGGTGAGACGGTATTTCACGCCAGAAAACCGCCTGAAACTGTATAAAGCTCAAGTGAGGCCACACATGGAATACTGTTCTCACCTGTGGGCAGGAGCGCCACAGTACCAGCTCCTTCCGTTAGACCGCATTCAAAGTCGGGCAGCTCGAATTGTTGACGATCGGCGTCTTACTGTCCGGCTCGACCCACTGAAACTGCGTAGAGATGTTGCATCTCTGTGCATCTTCTACCGAATTTATCATGGGGAGTGCTCTGAAGAATTGTTCGGATTGATACCTGCTGCAAATTTTCACCATCGTACAACCCGCCATAAACTAAAATTTCATCCCAACCATCTGGACGAGTGGCGGTCCTCCACCGTGCGTTTTTCAAGGCACTTTCTTCCTCGCACAACCACTCTTTGGAATCAACTTCCAGCAGCAGTATTTCCGAACCGATACGACAACATAACCTTCAAGAAAAGAGCTTATTCCTTTTTAAAAGGCCGGCAGCACACCTGCAATGCCGTAGGTGTTGTGGGTGACCATGGGCGGCGGTAGTCACTTACCATCAGGTGAGCCGCATGCTCGTTTGCCCCCTGTGTTGTAAAAAAAAAAAAAAAAAAATATAAGTCTGTTTTTATGTTTGTTGTTGTGTAATTGCATCACGTACAAATGGCGTACTTCGATAACCAGAGGGAGATTTTTACAAAAGTCGTCTTGCAAAGATATTGTGTCCCTAACGTATTTCTACTGTGAAATAGCTGTAAATCATGAATTATGTTTTGGTTTAAAGGGGACTTTGGCAGGCAAATTACAGGATACAGAGAATAATAATATAAGAATAATTATAATATATATATATATAAAATTATTTATTAAATAATAATAATATTTATAAAATTTTATAAAAACATCACTGATATTTTTAGTAGTAGCCTGCCAAAGATATTAGAAGCAGTTCAGAAATATCTGGAGTCGGGTTTAATACTTTTATTATAATTTTGTATGTTAGCACACTAGGTTTATAACATTGATTTGGCTTTTGCTGTCATAATGTTGTAATTATTTTTAATGAATAAACAAATAAAAATTAAAAAGATCATCTTAATCATCTTCATCATATCATTACATCATCCGTTAACCGTCCACTGCTGAACATAGACCTCCACTATGGGGGGTTTTGCCAGAAGTTGCCACGCTTGGTAGGCAAGATGGCAAATGCAGTTACGCTTTGGTGATGTCTAAAGAGGGACCTAACTGCACATCCCTCCGCCATTAAATTCTTTTAGTCATCTCTTACAACACACATGGGTAAGGAAGAGCTGGCTTGTTTTATACTAGGATGATACGTCTCATATAAGATCAGTCCTTAAGAATGACAACGCAAGAGTGGTACCATGAGCATCACATAATATTCTGTACTGTCGATGGTGACATTCTTTACTCTTTAGAAAGATACTCTTTATTGTCCAAAACATTACAATATTATATATATATATATATATATATATATATATATATATATATATATATATATATATATATATATATATATATATATATATATATATATATATATATATATTGATAATTGATAATTCTTTATTTAATAACAATTCATACCTAGTTACATCTACTAGCCACCGAACTAGGCTAAGCCTGTATCTCAGTGGTTAGTTAAAAACTTCCTTTGACTTAACATAAGACGGTACAATCTAAAACATAAATACACTCATTTGCAATGTTCAATTTACTTTTGGTGCAACATTGTTAAATGTGGGTAGCATCATATTATTTACTTACAATTACGATTACAGTTTACCCATCCAATGTGAAATATTATTTGCCGTCATTCATGTCTTCAGGCAACGGTTACCACTTTCGATCAGATGGACCGTCAGCTTGTTTGCCATTATAAGTATATTAAAAAATTATCATCGAATACATATTCGTCCAAATAAAAAACACATGCGCCTATATTTTATTTTTATTTTATTGGCACATAAAACAGATTACAACCATAAGAAACTTAAGTAATAATTACATTTGTGATTCGGCTAGGTTATAATCCAATTATATTATGTGCACAGCTTGAGTAATACATTAAAAGAAAACACATAATATAAAAAGAAATAATTAAAATGTTATATAAATATATAAAAGATAAAACTATATATAAAAAAAAACATATTTTCAATCGTATTCTACAAAATAGAAAACAAGTTCTTCCTAATTATCAAATATTTTGTACCGAATATGTCGATGGATTTGTGGTCGAGCAGTAAGTCGTTATAATGACGACACATTCTTATAAATATATTAAATTTACATGTTTCAAACAAACATTTGCATTCCCTGGACAATGTAGCGGTTTGTTTGTCCAACAATGAAGGAACTTTATTGATCCAGACGAAACAACCCCTCGGACGTTAAACAGCGTGCACTAATACATACAGTGCAATAAGATTTGTAAATTAAGGTTTTGATAGCAAAAAGTCTTTGTTAATTTTCATAAAAAAATATAAAATGTAAATAAAAGTGGATGAAAAATTATTAGTAGAAGATATAACATGTGCAATTTACTCGTTAACTTTCTTACTTATAAAAAAATATTTTAGTTCATTATTAAGGCATCTTTTAAATAGTCGTCATAGATCATACTTGTACTTACATTACTACTACACTGCAGTAAACTCCGATATGAATGCTGCAATCGCTAAATATTTTCAGCAGATTAAAACAGCGTCTTCTGCCCTCATAAATTAAATATGTTTGTGTATGTATATGTACGTATTTTGTATATGTAAAGATATGTATTGTTATATACAAATATGCATGTATTTTGAAGTTTATAAGTTACATTGTATTTAGGTAAGCATATTTATTATTTCTTAATAGAAACAACCATACTGTTTCCTTTTACAGTACGCGCACTGCCGCCTGGTAATTAATACTCCTTTCCACTCAGGGTTTATAGGAAGAGAATTCCTACAGAGTTAAGCTTACTTGTTGTACATTTTTATTGAAAATAAATTATAACAATGTATTTTTTTTATACAACTTAGAATGGCAAACAAGCTGACGGCCCACCTGATGGAAAATGGTAACCGTCGCCTATAGACATGAGCAGTACCATGGACATAACAGAGTATACTGTTTCGCCCATGATACCCCCCATGCGTTGCCATTCCTGAGGACTCAAATGTTATTCCTCTGTACCCAGTAAATTCACGCCATATGCCACCCTTCAAACCGAAACACAGCCATGCAAACAACTGCTTCACGGTAGAAACACGAATGGGACAGAGGTACACAAGCAATCGACTTTTGTACAAAGTCTCCCTCTCCCAATGTAGTTATTAAACAATGTATTGTGTACAGTATTGTATGTATTATTGTGTAAAGTAAATAATACATAAAATACTCTTAAAATCTAGGTATAGATACCTCTCAAACCCGTCATAATTATTTTCATGGCCATCCTAATATTATAATTTATATACAACTTATTCTGAATATAAATTAATGGCATTAATTAATTTCTATAACTCATAATAGAACTTAAAAACTATACGATAAACTAGCGTAGCCGCAATTACAATTTAGTTATATAATTTATAGACGTAGCGGCATTTATATATTACTTAGCATTATTTATTTTTCTAAATATAAAAGAAACTAAATAAAGAAGCTAAGTGTGGTGTCTTAGATATTTAAATTGTAATTACAAATTAGTTAAATAAATTAAAAACGTAACGGCATTAATTATATTACATCAACTAAATTGCAAAAAAACATGGCGGCTATTATTCTTAATGCATTTATATTTTGTTACAGATACAGACTGCTGCCCGTCGTGACCGAATGATGAACTGTGACGTAATCGGGTGACGTGACAAAATAGTGGTTGTGAACTCGGCTGACGAAACACATGAGCGGTTGTGAACTGTTACGTGATCGGGCGACGTGACACATGTATGGTTGTGAACTGTGACGTGCTCGGGTGACGTGACATAGTGTAGTGTTTGTGAATTATGACGTGACACAACCGACAGCCATGTACCGGCCGAATTTCTACGAGAGCACATGCTTTCGGTGTAATGAGATTGTGTACCAAGTGGACAGAGTTGGACCGTTGAAGGATTTCACGTTCTTCCATAGTGGTTGTTTTAAGTGCGCCGTGTGTGGGACCAAATTAACTTTAAAGGTGAGTAAACGTTAACTTTTACACTATTCAACAATTTTTACCGCGACTACGTCCGTGTACCAGGATATCTTATATGACGGAAATCACACTTCTCCATTCAAAATATATGAGTACACCTCATGGCAGTAATAATTAGTTAAGTCGTTAAGATGAAATAATAAGAAAGCATGCATAAATACCGCACATTAGAAGTGCATTGTATTCTATAATGTCAACATCAGTATTCAGGACTATAGGTGATGTTTACCTCTTTCCCTCGGAAGGGGGGGGGGGCAGTTTAATAGTCCAAATTATATACTCGCTTGATGTCGATGATACAGCCGTTAACTACTGTCCACTGCTAAACATAGGTCTCGTCCTTGAGGGTTTTTGCGAGTAGTTGCAACGCTTGGCAATTTGGCAATTGGGCTTTGATGATGTTTTAAGAGGGATATTGCTGCCTATCCCTCAACACTTGTGAATATGAAAAAGACTCTATTTTCCGCGCTTAGCCTTTCATTTGGGCCGTTGTGCGTATGAGTCGTGGCTAGTACAACCAACCTAGCTCCGCCCAGAAGCGCAGAAGCTTCCTGGGTTCTTCACAGGCCTCACGCAGCGATCTCACCGTTCCGAGAATTTCTGAACGTTGATGGGCCACAGCCTCACATTTCAGGATTACGTGAGCAGCCGTTTCTTCGGCATCGAAACAGCCTCGACATAGAGGGCTGTCTGTGACTCCTATTGTATATAAATGTTTGTTTAATGGACAATGGCCCGTGTGCCTATCATTATTCTTGAGGTTTTTTCTATCTAGATGTAATTCCTCAACCATTAAATTCCCTTAGTAGTTAATCTACACTATTCCGGGACCAACCAGGACCGAGGCCAACATCTCGCTTAGAATGGTGAAAATATTTCAAACAGCTTGCTTATATGCGTATTTATAATAAAAACATAAGTTTATTGAAGCGTCAAGATTCGTTCTCAGAACATAAAAAGCGTCGACCCATAAAAATGTTACAAGTTTTTCGATAAGAGATAAGGTCGCCTAAAATACCAAATGACCAAGGTCGCGAGGATACGCATCAAGGTCGTGTGGACCTTAATTCATATTCTTAGATATTGTTGAACTTACTTGTGATCGCCACTAGCTTTATCTTACAAATATAATAAAATTATTAAATTATTAAAAACTAAACCATGTCTATACATGGAAATTATATAAAAAATATATATAGATATAATGATCAACTCCTGATTATACATTATATATATATATATTAGATTTTATATGTAATATATTATATTATGTATATTATAATTTGCCTTCTTATCAACATTACGTTATTAACCTTCCTGTTGAAGCTGTGATTGTAATTTATGAATTCTTGGAACATTTTTTTCAAAATGTTTGTTTTAGCTGGTAAAACAACATGAAATGTGTACTTATTTGTAAGATAAAACTTTATTGAGTTATTAGCTGTTTTCCGCGGCTTCGTCCACATGAATCAGTACACAAAAAGTATCTTGTCATCATATCAGCCTTTAACTGTCCACTGCTGAATAATAAGCCTTCCCCATAAGGGCAATCTTGCCAGTAGTTGCCACGCTTAGCAATCGCAGTTAGGCTTTTAGAGATGCTTTAAGAGGGCTCCCCCTTGGGGGATTTTGCCAATAGTTACCACGCCTGGCATGCGAATTAATTACCATAGTTAGGCTTTAGAGATGATTTAAGAGGAACTCTGTTGTCCACGGGAAAGAAAAGGATTTTTTTTAATGGATGATAATGGAATGATGACCCTGCCTGTGCTATCAGTATACACTAGCGGGGCACCAGTGAGAGATGATTGGTGAAGATGAATAGGCAGGTCAGTTAGCCCATCGTGACGAATTCATCGATAAAATAGTTACGATGATTTCCAGGGGGAACCGCGTGGAGGTCGACCTGGTAGGGTATATTGATAGCAATAAGGACTAACCTCCCCATTACCAACAATCCCAACGATAGGTGAGAATGAAAGCAGGCCAGTTGGGCACATCGTGACAAATTCATTAAACGCTTATAACGATAGTTTCTAGGAAGAACCGCGTGGAGGTCGACCTGAGTGAGTATATTGCTAGCAATAGGGCCGACAATCCCCGTTATTATAAATCCCTTTCCCCTATCAATTCGAAGTTGTATAAGTAATAAAATTTCACTTTTTTTTAATACATATAATAATTTAATAAAAACTATACAACATTATGACCCTGTTACACGCCCATTACGAGTAGAGAAAAGCCATTAATGCGGTGAATAATTGAATTAAAAAGTATAACCATACTCGTATGAGTCACATCACATCTGATCCGTGACTGGTGAATCACTTTTATTTATATTTAAACTGTATAATAGTTGAATACGTCTGTTTCGCTGTTTATTCAGTGGCTGTGTATGTATTTTTGTATAAATTTTATCTTGATCAAAATGACTCATTGTGTACATACATAATATTATTATTATTCTATATATTTTTTTATTTATTTATTTATTTAAGTTTACCAACAATTGTTTCCACAAAATAATGTAAATATATATACAATTATGGAGCTTAGAACTAAGTGTAACAATTTTTTTTTAAGCAAACACAGCATATATTGATACATGTATAACAATAAGTACGGAGAAATATATATATATATATATATATATATATATATATATATATATAGCTTACAACTATTATTAAATGCTTAACAACTAACAAGTAAAGCCACCATATCCATAAGCAGATCCAGCAGCACGACTCATTTTATATATTTATAGATATTTCGTACAAAAACAATTGGAGTATTAAAATTAATATCGACCTGGTCACTGCAGCTATTTATAATTTTACAGAACCTTACTATTGGAAAATTACTACCCAGAACAGTTCTTCTAAATGGAGGTATTAGCGGAGTTATAGGTCCACGAGGCAATCTAGAAGGGACTCGCAATTTTATAAGGCTTAGTAACTGAGGACAATGTAATTTATGTTTTTTTTTTATACCACTGAGGTGGCAAACAAGCATAGGGCCCACCTGATGGTAAGCGGTTACCGTAGCCTATGAACGCCTGCAATACCAGAGGTATTACGCGCGCGTTGCCGACCCTGAAGAGGGGGGAAAGGAATTGTTAGTAATGGAGAAAAAAATCCCATTGCTTGCTATACACCCAACCAGGTCGACCTCCTTGTGGTTCCCCTTGGAAACTATCATGGCTAATTCCTGATGAATTCATTATGATGGGCTAACTGGCCTGTTTTCATTCTCATCTATCATCCTTCACTGGTGCTCCGCCAGCGTATTCCGTTAGCGCAGGCGGGGTTACCAATCCATTATCACCAAAAAAAAAAATATTGCGCTTTAGAAATCAATGGTATACCAATAATCTGTACCACACCCGTTAACTTCACAAAAATGTCACATAAACATATGGCATTGTCACAAATTAACCGAGCATGTCAGTGACAATATTAAATTAAGCTTATTGAATGAACACCATTATAACGTGACCTCTTAATAACAATACAATTTCAACACACAATAAGAGTTAAAATACTGAAAACTCGTGCTACTGTGGTCATTTACTTTTAAATAACTCTATATAATAGCCATGAATTACGTTAAAATCAATTGAATGTTATTTTACAACGGATCTACCATGAAATGAAATTCCGAAATTTCGGACTCAATTTCGTGTTTTTGTTTATACCAAAATTGGACCAATAAATGAAGTTTAACATTTCGTTCGTCATACATCCTTCCATACAATATTTCCGAACTATTATGTAATTTTAACATCAAATTTCTGTTTCGTTTGGCTCCGAAATTTCGGAAAACATTTCATGGTAGGCCCTCAGATTAAAAAGGATATTAGAGGAGGTAATAAAATTTTTTAAAAAATCTGTTTTATTATCCACGATTTATTTTTAAACATATATTTATTTATTTACACATAATGTAGAATGAGATAGCAACGTCGGATGTCTCATTCCAACTCACGAACTCGCTAGCGATGTCGATTCCATTAACGAATTCGTTTGCCACTTGTCTAGAGAGCCAGGTCAGTAAGCCTATCGTAATAAATACACCTGGAATTCAGCACGATGGGTTCTAGGGAGCACCACCTGGAGGTCGACCTGACGGGGTATATTGCTAGCAATGGGACTGGTAGTCCGCATTACTAACGACCCCCCCCCCCTTGAAACTACTATTTGGGATAGAGGACTTCGGCTACTTCAGTTTAGATACTATAATATATATAGATTATTATACAGATAGATTCACCAGAAGGAGACTTTGTACAAAAGTCGATTGCTTGGGTACCTCTGTCCCATTCGTGTTTCAACCGTGAAGCAGCTGTGTTTGCATGGCTGTGTTTCGGTTTGAAGGGTGGGATATGGCGTGAATTTACTAGGTACAGAGGAATAACACCTGAGTCCTCAGGAATGGCAACGCATGGGGAGTATCATGGGCGAAACAGTATACTCTGTTATGTCCATGGTACTGCTCATGTCTATAGGCGACGGTTACCACTTTCCATCAGGTGGGCCGTCAGCTTGTTTGCCATTCTAAGTTGTATAAAAAAAAAGATTCCGTTCACACGAACAAAATGGCGAGCGTAATCATGTAGAATAAAAAATTACTTTATCCCCGAAGGGATAAAATAATATTATTTTAATACACACAGTTTCAATACTCAGTCGACGTCGTTGCATTATAAAAATTGTTATAATTACGCACAATAATCACATCTAATAACTGAAAATTATATACGTTGTGGCAATATACTACATGTATATATGTATTTGTAGACCTTGGCATCTTCATTATAATAATAGCTTAATAATAACATACTTATATGTATTATATGTAGGTATGTTACAATGACTATCTATAACTATTATATATTTATTTATTTATATAAACTTGAATGCACACTGTGAATAGGTATATGTACTTTTGGCAGACTTAACACCGGCTGGTATTCTCTACTAGTCAACCCTTGAGGGAACAGAGAAATAGGTAAATAGGAACAGTAACCGTCGCCTATAGACATGAGCAGTACCATGGACATAAACAGAGTATACTGTTTCGCCCATGATACCCCCCATGCGTTACCATTCCTGAGGACTCAAGTTTTATTCCTCTGTACCCAGTAAATTCACGCCATATCCCACCCCTCAAACCAAAACACAGCCATGCAAACACAACTGTTTCACTGTTTTTTTTTTATTGGATGATAATGGAATGGTAACCCCACCCGCGCTATCGGTAAACACTGGCGGGGCACCAGTGAAGGATGATAGGTGAGGAGATGAAGTAGGTCAGTTAGCCCATTGTGACGAATTCAACAAGAATTGTTCACAATGGTTTCCAGGGGGAACCACGTGGAGGTCGACCTAATGAGGCATATTGCTAGCAATGGGGCTGTCAAACTCCATTGCTAACACTCCCTTTCCCCCAACAAATAACTGTATTAGAGGAGTAAAAAATTATGACTCAAACAGAGTAAATATTTTACGAACTAGGTGTTATTTTGCGAAACTCCATAACTCTGGTTAGTTGTTTATCAAAGTAAACTTTATATTTATTGCCGTATTATGTTTTCAAATATTTTTTAGTTTGCTTAATAACACATAGCAATTTTTATTTATATAAAATATAATCTTTCAGACATATTACAACAATCAACACTGGACAGAGGACAAAGAGGTCTACTGCTCGAGCCATGTGCCCAAAATCGGACCTGGTCATCTGGACAACTCCTCTGTTGGCATCCGGAGTGCACTGAATGTCCCCAAAAGCAACAATTATGTCAACGAACAGATCAGGGGGCACGCGAGAAACAGTCACGATAATGAATGTAAGTAAATTTTTTTACAATTCATTCATTCATTTAGGTCGTTAACTGTTCACTGCTGGAAATAGGCCTGCTCCCATAAGAAGGGTTTTGCCAGAAGTTGCCACGCTTGGCTGGCGGTTTGATAACCGTAGTTAGGCTTTTGGTAATGTTTTAAGAGGAACGCTGCTGCCCATCCCTCGACAATTAAATTCCATTAGTCGTCTCTTATGACACCCACATGAAAGAAAGGGGTGACCCATTTTATGCCGGGATCACACAGTACTAATTACAATCTGCGAACAAAATGTATAAAAATTGTGTGGGGTAAGTGGGCATTTGCGTATTAAACACATACTGGCTGATGCTGTACAGTTTATTTACACGACTTTAGAGGGTAATATCATTTTACTTCCATCGGGCGGTAATTTTCTTTTATTTCGATAACCTCTATGTTTGACCCATAATTAGCTCAATATACTAATAATGTTGTCACGATAAATTGAGTCGTTCTTACGTGAAACATTAATAATAGTACACAAACAGACAAACACATAAACAGGAAAAAATTGCAAAAACCACCGTTTACAGTTTAATATCGTATGTATTATTTTTTAAGATAAATTTTAAAATAATGTTTGATATAAAAGACATGAGTGGCCAAAATGTATGTAATTATCTAAAGTAAAAACATTGCATTACAATTGCATATATTTTGCTCTCCCATTGGATATAGTTGCGTCCATAAGAAAAAACATAAATTGTAAAAAAAAATTAGGTGTATATTGTATAGTATCGAACATTATTACTGACTCAATATAATAGGAGAGCAAAACGAATAAAATATGTATCGAAACGATTTTAATTTTCCTTGTATATATAATAAAATATCATCGTCACTTGTGGATCATCATCATCATCATTTCAGTCATTATCCGTCCACTGCTGGACATAGGCCTCCCAAATAGACTGCCATAAGGAACGGTCCTGAGCCACCTGCATCCACTGACTTCCTGCAATATATTTGAGGTCGTCACTCAATCTAGTGAGGAGACGTCCGACGACGGATGCGCAAACGCTTGTGTTCCTACACTTACGCATACGGGGCACTCACGCCATGCCACTCAAGAATCTTTCTTCCCCATCAGTTGTCTTTTCTTCGAGCTATGAAACCAGCCCATTACCACTTTAGCTTGCTTATTTTTCGAGCTATATCCGTTACTTTGGTTCTGTTGCGGATATCCTCGTTTTGAATTCTATCACGCAAAGAAACTCCGAGCATAGCCCTCTCTACAGCCCGGTGATTAATTTGAAACTTTTGCATACGGGCAATCATGTAGGATCAAGTCTCGATTCCATAAGTCATCACTGGCAACACACATTGGTTAAAGACCTTCGTCATCAAACTTTAAGGTATCATTGTGGGTTTCTCCGTACCTTTTTTTACATTTTACTTTCCTGTTATATCGTAATGATAAAAACGTATTTTATCATGCCAAGCTACGGGTAATTGTAAAAACACCAATGAGGTACCAATAGGCGATAAAGAGAGCAAAATGTATGCAATTAGGTAAATAGAGACATGTTCGGTTTTAGTGACGGTATCGTGAACGTATATGGAAACTTAAATACGTCTTCATATATGTAACTTGAATATTTAAATATAATAGGCGCTTATCTTACAATATAGTACAATATTACAGTCACAATATAATAGAAAATTAAACTATAAACGACTAGGTTTTAACCGCGACTTCATCCGCATGACCTGGTTATATTCACTGACCGGGAGAAAAAGTAGTCTGTCTTTCTCCATCTCATAAATACATGTGTACCAAATTTCCCAGTGGTTGGTTAGGATGCCAAGAATTAACAAACAAACTCACTTTAATATTTATAATATTATTAAAGATTATATGAAGATACAATAAATTATGTGATGTAATACATAATGGTATCGTATACACGACACAATATCACTACAATTGCATATATTTTACTCTCCTATTGTATCGTAACGATAAAATTATGCGATATCATACCGTGTTAAAGTAAGTTATAAAAATAATAAATATAGATAATTGAGATGGAAAACTTAGCTCTGTAGCTACAAACACTTTTCGAAATGTGAACACAAACTAGAGATTGTAAATTCCGTTTAGAAAAAGCTATAAATAATTTCATATCAGTGTTTGCTTTATAAATCATAATATATAGAAAAGTAAGCACTAATTAAAATCTTATCATATATTATACTAAAAATGTACCTTAAAATTGATAAGTAAAATAATAATTTAATATACATGGTCCTTTTACACTACTTACTTGACTACATTAATACAACCGTATCTATTTGTATAAGTCTGTGAATGGAGCTTCATCTCTTATGTCCTTTATGTATTTATTTTTGGACTCCGAATAGATCTTATATCTTTATGGAATGCAATGATTCGTTCCTAATATTATGAATGTGAAAATGAGTTTCTTTATTTGTTTGTTTGTTATCTCATAGCGCCTTTACAGTTCAACCAATCGTCTACAAACATATACATACTATTTGTGATGGGGAAGGACATAGGATACTCTAATATTTATCCCGGCCAAGCATCATATATCGGTAACGCGAAAGCGCGAGTAAAAAGCTAGTAAACAAATAAAAAACATCTTAAAATTCACACTTTTTAATTTTACCAAAAAAAAACATACAAAATTTTTATGTTGATAAAATTCAAATTGTTTCGTTTCTAAAAGTTGTAAATTTTATAAAAATAAGCGTTTGAATTTAAAATCAACGAAATTAAAGAGAACAATAGGTACCAAAATTACAATAATATCATGCGCGCGCAGGCAGGTACAAGAAAAATGAAATCGTGCGCTCTTTTATAGGCTATCAGATCTTATGTTTTGTCCAGTCATTGTACGAGTTAAAACCACTGAAGGCCGCCAATTGTTTCGGTCCATTGTGATACAACTCAAGCGAGGTGGTAAGGAAATGAACTGGAACTTTGTCCAACTATTTATATATCCGATTCGTATTAGCTGAGAATAATGTTAATAATGAAACATAATGGCTTTGGTTTGAATGGGGATGAGTTAAAATGAATACAACAGGGAAATTACTGAATACAGAAGAACAACACCATATTTCTTAAGATTAGCAACGCATAAAAAGTATTATGGGCGTCACAGCATATACTGTGATGTTCATGGGCTGTTTATATTTTTAGGCGACGTTTGTCTGTTTTATCGTCAGCATGTTTGCCATTATAATGGCAATATCATTAAAAAAGAAGTATTTTTAGAAGAGCAACATATATTTAAATTTGGAACTTACTACATTTTTAATTTGCAATAGTTTTTTTGTTCCCCAAAGATGCAGTTTCCGCCCGCGCCGCGCTGTTAGAAAATTAATATAAAACCAACACTGGAATAGACTCCGTTGAATACAAAAGATATATAATATCTTAAAGTAATCGATAAATTGAAAATCACTTGTTTAAATTGAAGCATTTGTCTTTCATTGTTTCTGCCTACCCTAATTAGGGAGACATGCGTGACTGATATGTATGTATGTATACGTGAATGATATGAAAGTCACATAAAAACCATCATTAAGATTTTTTTATACAACTTAGAATGGCAAACAAGCTGACGGTCCACCTGATGGAAAGTGGTAACCGTCGCCTAACATGAGCAGTATTATGGACATAACAGAGTATACTGTTTCGCCCATGATACCCCCCATGCGTTGCCATTCCTGAGGACTCAGGTGTTATTCCTCTGTACCCAGTAAATTCACGCCATATCCCACCCTTCAAACTGAAACACAGCCATGCAAACACAGCTGCTTCACGGTTGAATTACCAATGTATAAAGTATATGAACTTAAATCTCACTAACACCTCATACCTACATATGAATAAAGAAAACATCAAACCTACAAGAATCCAGTCGGATTTCCGAAGAAGGCGCAGAAAGTTGAAATTCGACACATTTCGGCCGCGTTCGGGCTGACGAAAGGGACATGTCGTAAGAGTGAAAGAGAGGGGGAAACTTGTTGCAAAATAACCGACAACATTCCACCGGCTAAAGCCCACTGACCTAAAGCTCGTTGGGTTGGACCTGCGATTTGTACTTCGGAATGTTTTGGCACGTGTGCCTACCTATCTGCAATCATATTAAATAGTTTGGTTTAACAGCAGCACAGAATTCAAATCTTATACAAAAAATTTCCGTATTATATTCATTGCCATTAATATCCGAAACTGTACGACTGATTTTATTGAATCTTTATTTATTTATACTTTATTATACACAAAAAATTACAAACATATAATATAATTTATATTAAATAAACAGATGTACAACAGGCGAGCATAACTCTGTAAGAGTTCTCTTCCAGCAAACCCTGAGTGGAAAGGAACATTAACCAAACATTAAAACAAAATATTTACCAACAAAAGAAAATTTGTATATGTTTGCACGAACTTAAAAGATAAGATTTTTTATCCCGACGAAAGGCACTGTTTTTTTTTTTTTAATAATGAAAGTGCAATGGTAACCCAGCCTGTGCTTTGCTATTTAAAGGAGCACCAGTAAGAATGATAGATTAGTATGAAAGCAGAGGGCCTATCAGGAAATGTTTTTGAAATTTCAAGGCCGAAAGAAACACAAAATTGATGTTAAAATTACACAATACATACCATTTAAAAATGTTAAAATATCATTTCTTTGAACTTATATGATAGAATTTATGATAAACGAAATGTTAAGCTCCATTTACTGAGCCGATTTCGGTTATGAACAAGAACACGAAATTGAATCCAAAAATTCGGAACTTTATTTCATGGTAGACCCCCAGGCCAGTTGGCCCATCGTGACGATTTCACTATCATTTTTATAGTCCTTTCTGTTCTACCAGTAGACCTAAATCGTAGAACTGTAAGGATACAATAAATTAATCCCGATGGATTCTAAGGGAAACTGCGGAGGTCGAACTGATATTGCTAGCTATTAGGCCAATA